ATGTAGGAAATCCTAAGGAAACCCCTAAAAAACTAAGAACTAAATGAACTCCACAGGGTTTTAGGACATAAGATTAATATATAAAAATCAATTGTCTTTCTATACATTGGCAGTGAACAATCCAAAAATGAAATTAAGAAAGCAATTCCATTCACAATAGCATCACAAAAGAATACTTAAGGAAAGAATAGTTAGAAATAAATTTAACAAAAGATGTGCAAAATTATAATGTGAAAACTACAAAACTTTGTTGAAAGAAGGAAAACCTAAAATGGAAAAACATCTCATGCTCATGAGGTAGACTTGACATTGTTAAAATGGCGATGTTCCCTAATAATCTTTAGGTTTGGTGCAATCTCTGCCAGAATCCCAGCTGAATTCTTTGTGGAAATTGACTAGCTAATTCTGAAATTTATATGGAATCACAGTAGACTCAGAAAAAGAAAACAATCCTGAAAAAGAAAAATAAAGGAGACTCACACCTTCCAATTTCAAAACTTTCTACAAAACAGTGTGGTACTGGCGCAAGAACATAGATACCAATGGAATAGAATTAAGAGACCAGAAATAAACCCATACATCTGTGATGAAGTCATTTCTTACAAGGGTGACAAAACCATCCAATGGGGAAAGAATGGTCCTTTGAAATGGTTGTGGGACAACTGGATAGCCACATACAAAAGAATGAGGTCAATCCCTCCCTCGCACCATATACAAAATCTCAGAATAGATCAAAGACCTAAAAGTAAAACCATAAAGCTCTTAGAGGAAAACACAAGGGTAAAAACTTCATAACTTTGCATTTGACTAAGGATTCTTAAATAGGACATGAAAAGCATGAGCAACAAAAGAAAAAAGAGGTAAGTTGGACCTCATTAAAAATTAAAGAATGTTGTCTTTCAAAAGGACACCATCAAAAAGTGAAAAAACAATGCACAGAATAGGAGAAAACATCTGCAAATCATATCTGAAGAGGGACTTGTATCTAGAATATATAAAAAACCCGATAATAAAAAGACAACCCAACAAAGAAAAGGTCAAGTGACCTGATAGGCATGTCTCAAAAAAAGACAAAAGTGTCCCATAAACGCATGAAAAAAGCTTGACATCGCTAGTCATCAGAGAAGTGCAAATAAAAACCACAATGAAATAACTACAGATCCACTAGGATGTCTAGAATAAAAAATCCAGATATCAAGTATTAGCAAGGATAGTTGGAGCCATCATACATTGCTGGTGTAAAATGTAAATGTAAAATCAATGTAAAACGATATAACAGCTTTGAAAAACACTGTGAATTCCTCAGATGATTAAATACAGAGTTAATCATGAACCAGCAATTCCATTGCTGGGTATATAATCCAAGAGAAATGAAATGAAACCTATGTCCACACAGAAGTTTGCACATGAATGTTTATACCAGCATTCATAAGAGCAAAAAGGTAGAAACAACCCAAATATTTGTCAGCAGACAAATGGACAAAGAAAATGTGGTATATCCATACAATGGAATATTTGGTTATTAAAAAAATGAAGTTACTGATACATGCTACAATGCAGATGAACCTTGAGAATGCTAAGTGAAAGCAGCCAGTCACAAAAGACTATGTTCCATATGATTCTGTTCATATAAAAGTCCAGATTAGAAACATCTATAGAGACAAAGTAGATTAATGGTTTCTTAGGAAGATAGGGGGATGATAGCTAACATGTACTGAGTTTCTCTTTGAGGTGATGAAAATGGTTGAAAACTAACTGGAGATGGTTTGTATGGTATGTGAATTTCATCTCAATAAAGCTATTTTTTTTTTTTTTTTAAAGAGCCATTGGTTATCAGGTATCTGAGTCTAAAACTTGAAGAAGCCTGTGTTGGAAATAGGAATGTGGATGGTAGTTTAAACTGGGAATGGGTAAGACCAGTTTGTAAGAGCATGTAGAATGAAGCTCATTAAATAAGTGGATGGAGAAATATAACAGCTATGGAATACAGTGTTAGAAAAATCAATGGGATTGAATACATAGAAGGGGTTATCACAACCTCAAAGGCAATAGGAAAGCCCAAAATAAAGGGAAGATATAGTAACAGCAATTTATTTGGTAATAGTAGCAATGGGGTCCATCAAAACAACACAAACAACATCACAGAAGTAGAGGTCATCTCCATAGCTCCACTAAAATCACTCTTGTCAAGGTCTTAACCTCCATGCTTCCGATTCCAATGGTCAATTTTCAGGTATTTTCAACCTCAAACTCTCTGAACAGGAATGAGTTGATAGTACCCTTTTTGAAATGTTTTAAAGGTTTGTTTCTCAGTAAATGGAATTACTGTTTATCCTATTGCTCACATCAAAAGAAAAAGAAAAAAAAGATTATCTTGCACCCCATATTCAGTCTATTAACTAATCACCTCTGCCACCTTCAAAGTATGTCCAGAATCCAGCTACTTATTACCACTTAAACTGTAACGCTAGTCTTGTAGGTCTGCAGTAGCTTCCTAACTAGTCTTTCAGCTTCTATTTTGTCTTCCTACAGGCAGTTCTCAAAGAAGCAACCAAAGTAAATTTCTTCATTGGTAACTCAGATCATATCACTCTTTCATGCAAAACCCTTCATGGCTTCCTAGCACTCTTAGGGTAAAATCCAAAATCCTCTCCTGGTCTATCAGTCCATGAGTCACCTGACTCCCATCTTGTTTCTCCAAACTAATTTCCTACCTACTCTTTTGCCTTCCTTGCTGTTCTTTGAATACACCAAGAACACTCAAATTTCCGGTTATTTAACTTTGCTCTTCCCTTTGCCTGGAAGGTTATTTCCCCAGTGTACATGGCTCACTCCAGATCACTATTCATATGTTACCTCAGCAGAATGGCCTTCCCTGGATGCCTTAGCAAAAGAGCACACCCTCTCTTTTCCTTTACAATGCTCTTCATAACTTACTACTGTCTGTGTGTCCCTCTCCTCTCCCTGCATTCCCAACCCCTATACTAATGGTAGGCTCCATGAATGCAGGAATCTCAGTTTGTTTTACTCATTGTTGTACCTCCGGCACCTAGAACAGGATGTCACATGTAGTAGGAATTAAATATCTGTTGATGGAGTAAATGAATGAATATGGCAGGGCATTTGATAGCTACTCTGTGCTCTAGTGCTCTTCTAGGTGTTGGGATTACAAAGATGAAAAAAAAAAAACCCAAAGACCCTGCCCTCACAGTTTTATTCTAATAGTATTTTTAGGTTAAAATGTATATAATTATAGGTTAAATGTTAAAGATAAAAATGTTATGGGAAAAAAAACAATGCAGAGTAAGAATTGAGGAGGGTGGTGGTGTAAGGTACCATTTTACTTAGAATAATCAAGAGCTGCCTCTGAGGGAGTATCATTTGTGTAGAGATCTGATTGAGTGGAGAGCTCAAGTCTAATAAAGATCTGTTGTGAGATTGTAAATTGGTGCAGCCACTAAAGAAAAAAAGTGTGGAGATTCCCTAAAAAGAAAATTAAAAATAGAACCCCCATATGACCCAGCAATTTCACTTCTGGGTATTTATCCAAAGAAAACTAATTTGAAAAGATATATGCCCTTCTGTGTTCATTGCATAACTAATATGGAGGTAACCTAGGTGTTTGATAGATGAGTGGATAAAAAAGATGTTTTACACAATGCAGTATTAGCAATAAAAAAAGAATAAAATTTTGCCATTCGCAACAACATGGATGGACCTAGAGAGTAATATGCTGTGAAATGTCAGAGAAAGACAAATACCATATGATTTATGGTATCTAAAAGAACAACAAATGAATAAACCACCCAAAACATAAAAAGACTATAGAAATAGAGAACAAGCTGATGGTTGCCAAAGGGGTGGTAATTGGAGGGGGAGTAGGCGGGTTCAGTCCGGGAGTCTGGTTTGGACCATAAATAAATACAATGAAACCAGTGTTCTTAATCAATATACTGTAATTGCATGTGTAGAGACCCAAAAGAATCTACAGGACCAATGGATAAGTTTAGCAAGGTCACTGGATACAAAAACCAAAATAATTTGCATTTCTAACATCAGAAGAGCTGTTTGATGAACATTCCAAGAAAAGTGCAAAAGCCCAGGGGCTGGAACATCTTTTGGTTGGAGTGAGGAGAAAAAGCCAATAAAGCTAGTGCAGAGCCAGGCAGTGAGGGAGAAGAAATCAGAGAAATAGGTACCAGATCTTGTAGGGCCTGCATTGAAGGCTATCGTGATCATTTTGATTTTTACTGTGTCATGGGAGGCTTTTGGAAGTTGTGAGCGTGGCAATAATGTGACCTGACTTACAGTTTAAAAGGGCACTCACTCTAGCTGCCTTGTTTAACGAGGACAGTAATGAAAGAAGACAAACCAGCTAGGTGTCTATTGCAACAGTCTAAGTAATATATAACTTATAACAGGAAGGGTAGCGGAAGAGAAGGTGAGAAGAGGTCAGATTCTTGAACCTTGGGCTTCTGATAAAAAATACTCCCCTTGCAGGGTACAGTAATCTTGTCAGGGATCTTCTACAGGTTTCCTTTAGGGGTCAGAAGGAAGCGGAATGTACACTATTGGACCCATTCTTGGGAACCTTCAGTACCCCGCTCTTTCAGAAGAAGAGGCTCTTGACTTGAAGCTTAGCTGAAAGTCAAGGCTCTGAATCCCGTCTCTAAGAATGGGTAAATAGAGGCCCTCAAGAAGAAGTGGGCCTAGAAGTTACAGAAACCACCTAAGAAAATGGTCTCCAAAGGAAATAGGGTTTTCACAAATCTGGCGAGAACTGCTTGTTCCCAGAAGTCAGAAACGGGGCAGAAATGGAGGTCGCCCAGAAAGCTGGCTGCCAAACCATTTGAAATGAATTTTATTTCCACCACAACTCAGCGAGGCCGCTAACTCGCACTTGTTTTGAATATCGCAAGAGATGCGAGACCCTTCAAACCAATCTACAAAAACAACTTTGCCTTCTCCGTAATGCGCACGCGCCCCTCGCCCAGTTTTCCGTTGGCCTTAAGCCCCGCCCCTTATGCGTCCTTCAAGGAAGGTTGGGAGCCGTAAGCTCGCGCGACCACTCTTCCCTCCGTCTTTTCCACAACACGTCGTCGCAAACGGGGCCGGAAAGCGTGGCAGCGCAGGCGCAAGCGCAGAGAGTGGAGACGGCGGCGGCGGTGGTGGCGGCCGCTGACCAGTGTAAGATGGCGGCGGCGTTGGTGGCGGCAGTGGACAGGACGGCTGGGCCTGGAACAGCTGGAGCAGCAGCTAGCAGAAGGATGACCCCAGACGGGAAGCGGGCTGCTGAGCCTCGCCGGCTCCCGTGCTTGTAACTGTCCCAGCCGGACACCCCCTCCCCCCCTTGACCTACCCGGTCCGTGTCTCCTTACGGCTTGGCCTGCCGCTCTCTCCCATGTCCCGTTTTCCCCTTAGGATACGTTTGACTTGTTTTCAAGTTCATGGGTCAGGTCTTTTTCTTTCCCCTTACCCGAGTCTCCACCGGAAGGACTGACTGCCCTTGCCTCTGGTCAGCCCTGGAATTGCCCCCAAGAGCCTGACCCACAACCCACCGGAACGCCTTGCCTCGTTGGGTGGCTACCCGTTTTGTGTGCGCCCTTCCTACCCCTCCCCCCTTAGATTAGGGTACGCGGCTCGAGTTCTCGGGCCCAGCAGCTTGTACGGAAGGCCGAGGTCCAAGAACCCCAGAGTCAGTTGTTGCCGGCTGGGCTTGTACCCTTTGTAATTCTCCCGTTGTAGTTCTCTTAGTTTACTTCTCCTTACCCCCAGATCTTCCAGGACACGGTAGAACGGTCTTATGTGGTCCCTGTTGGTTGGAAAGCACCTGGTGGCTTGAATTTCTGACTCATGATTGTTGTTGGAGTCTGTAAACAAACCGGCACTAGCACTATCACTTTCTCTCCAGGATTCCCCACCCCCACCCCGCCCCTCCCGCCCCATCCCCGTTCTGTGGCTTCTTGTTAAGAGGTTTGGTTATGGGTTAGGGTTGAAAAGATTCAGGTTTCCCTTTTAAGTGACTTTTTACATGTTAGTGGAGCTGGGAGAATACTTGCCTAGTTCATTTTATTTCTGTAACTGTGTGTGTAGGTTATTTACTGAGTAGTCAGAATTAGATACGTTATTCTGACTTTAGTTCTGAGAAGGTCTAAAAAATATTAACGTGTGTTTATAAATATTTTTATTATGTTCAGTAGAAGAAACACCTTTGCCACTTAAACTTTAATTTTTCTCAATCCTTCAGTGAATCTACAGACCTGTTTTCTCAGGAGTTCAGCCTGACCCTACATAAGTGATAAAGGAGAAGAGGTGAGTAGAAATTGACAGTATTGAAATTCCTGAGTCCAAGACAGACCCTACCCTGATGGTCAAGTGCAGATACAATTCCTACCTATCCCAAAGAGTTGCGGTATAGTTTTTGACTGTTCGAGCTCTGGTTAAATTACCTTTACAAGTTTATGGGCTGCGGGCATCTTGATTTTCTGTCGTATACTGTTGCTGTGTATCTTCAAAACTCCAGTTAAGCCCAGAAGTGAATGTTTCTTCCTCATTTGCATTGTGTTTTGCCTGTGTGTAGATCATGTTTCTTACATTGTTAAAAGCTGGGAATTTGTTTGAGTTGTCATTTCTGGGTATTTAGAGACCATTTAACCACTTGTCACTAAAATCTGGAAAGTGATGAGTGATGCTGCCTTTAGTTGGTATCTGAGTTCAGTCCACCTCAATTGCAACTTTTCAGGACATAGTGGTAAATTTTGGGTTAAAAAAATAGTGGCTGTTTTTCTTTTATAGCTGGTATGAAGTGTTCTTGGTCAGCAGAGGGAATCAATCTTGTGCAGTCAGCTGCATGGGCCAGTGCGGAAGAGGGAGTCAGAACATACTTGTAAATGTAATTTTTGTAAGACTCTTGGGTTTCTGGTAGCAGAGAATAGTGCTATAGTTGGGGTTTATGAAATGCAACAGAGGAGCTCAGTGTCTCTTGGAGGCAGACCTGGCTGATTCTTAATAACTTTATGATTTGTAGTAGAAAAGTTTTACTGTGACACTGATGAGCTTTATTTCACAGAGAGTTCTAATTAGAAACTAGTCACTGTGAACCGGAATAAGATTATTAGTGGTAGTACATATGTGTATCAGGAAGATATAAAGGGGAAAAATACAGTCTTTAGAGCCAAACAGACCTGGGTTTAAATACGGTACTAAGATTTAGACCTTGGGCAAGTTATTTAAACTTTTCATTTCCACATCTCTAAAAGTGGCATTAATACAATTTACCTCCTAGGGTCATTGTTAATACAGTATGAAGGAACCTATATAAAGCTCTAAATTATGGTTAGCACATGATAGACACTAAATTTTTTATTTTCTTTACATATCATTGATACAGTTTAGAATAAGTTACACATTTCTTATTAGTTTACATTTCTTTGCATTTTGCTTTTGAACACTTTTCCTGGTTATTTTTTCAATTCATTTTTAATTGGTCAACTTAGATGTTTGCTTTGTAGGTGCCACCTAGGGATGTCTTCTGAACATGATTCAGGTTAGTTCAAGACCAGAGGACAGCAGGAATGTTAGATGTAGGTGTATGTACAGTGGGAGGAGGGGACCCGAAAAAACTGGAATTATCTTCTGGAGGGCAGGTCCCCTGTAATACAGGCTTCCTCTACTAGGTGAATGTTCTAGGAACCTGTATGTATCTGGGTACCAGCTGGCATTGTTGTGAGAGGCTGCATATGGCTTTAGTGAATTTTTTTTGAAAACTCAGTGCATTTGCCCACTTAATGATGAGTAATTTACAAGCGTACCTCCACACACCACGCTGAGTGTTCAGCAGTTTTAGACCCAAAATGGCATTACCCCCATGCTCCACCTTCCCTGTTCACCTGAACATCTTGCCCCAAGCACCTGTTTTTGTTTCCCCAATGAAAAAAGTACTCATAGGGAAATGTTTTGCTGATGTGGAAGAGGTAAAACAAAAAATGGCAGAAGCACTAAAAGGCATCAAAAGCAATGGATTCAAAAACTTTTGAGCAGTGGAAGAAATGTCACGGTAAGTGTATTACTTCAAATGGAAAGTCCTTTGAGGGTGACTGAAGTTTAAACATATAAGAATAAATACACAGTTTTTTATAAATGAATTCCAGGTCTTCTGGGTTCCCTCCTTGTATATCTCTAAGTGCACTGTTAAACTAAACATCAGTAAATTTCCTATGTTCACTGCTTCCTTTGTCTTCGTTTCTCCATTAGTACACCTGACCAGAGTTAACACAAATATTGTGCAGGCATACCTCAAGATATTGTTGGTTGAGTTCCAGACCGCCACAATAAAGCCAATATTGCAATAAAGCAAGTTGTAATCTTTTTGCTGGTGGAGGGTCTTGTTTTCAATTTGTAAAAAATAGGACATCTGTGAAGTGCCATAATGGGAAGCACAGTAAAAAGAGGTATGCCTGTAATTCCTTCCTTTCCTGCTTCAGTGTTACTCACTACCTCTGCTCTAGTTACTCCTTATGCCTTTTCCTTTTTGCCATAGAGGAATGCATCCCCCTCCCCCCCCCCGCCACCTCCCGGTTGTTAAACTCTGCTGTAATCTTCATCAATAGGTTATCCAAGAACTAGACCATGAAAAGATCTTCTTTCTTTCTGAAGTGAATCAGGGCTAGGGAGTTAGGAATACAGAGGGGTTTTTGGTTTGTTTTGTTTAACTTACTTACGCATTCATTGGTCACTTCTTGAATGTGCTGTGACCAGGAATCCAACCTGCAACCTTGGCATATCAGGATAATGCTGTAACCAACTGAGGTACCTGTCCAGGGCCAGAGCTTTTTATTTTTCATCTCCCCAGTTTGACCATCTTAATGATATGACTGCACAAATGAAAAGCTTTTGACCTTCTCATTGGCTTTTATTCCATCTTTTTGAAGCAGGTAAGGGCACGTGAAAAATAGTGTTGATTACATTGTGATGAAAAAAACTCTATTCATTCAGGCCAGTGATCAACTTAGAGTTGATTATCTTGCATTACCATCATGTGAGGTCTAAATTCTTTCTATTAAAAGGTACAGACTTGAGGTGGAGAATGGCAAAGTGGGCTGAGTCTACATTTTACTATTTGTGTTTTTAGAGGATCTGGAGATCTATGTTGTGCAAGAAAGAAAAGGAAATAGGTTGGAAGAGGCATAACTTTGACTGTTTTTCATTCCTCTATATGCTGGGTGAGAGTCCCATTCCCCCACTCCATCCCCTGCCCCCCAAGGGTTTTACATTCTGAAGCTATTTTGTATTTCAGTGTGTTGCGTAAGAATTGTCACATCTTAATATGTAGTATTTCCTAACATAGCTGAAGTGGGAGGCTAGGTATGCTTGTGACCTTAGTTTCCCACCTACAGGGCATTTTACATAGCATTCTTACAAAATGTGTAACATTTAGTCCTTGGTGTTGACTAGGATCAACCTAGGACAGAAGCTTGTCTTCAGAGAAAGCTAAAAGAAAACAGCCTTCTGTTGCCAGTTTAAAACAATACTGGCATTTCAAAAGCAAATGGGACAGTAGTAGAAGTCATTCTATAAGAGTGTGCGTGCTGTTGTTGGATCCTGAGATTGTCAGTTTACACCCTAGGTCCTGCATTCTAACAGTAAGTTATAGGCTTGTAAAATCATGAAGTGACTAGTTAAACTTTGTTTTTAGTAAACATTGTTTTCTTCTAGATATTTTCTGCTGTAGGGAAGTTACTCTAAACACGTCTAGGAAATGTCCAGATTATAAAAGAGTTACCCAGACAGCCAGATAGCTTTTTATTGCATTAACATTGGTGTTGGAGTTAGTTTTTAAGATTGAATTAGGTATTTCTTTCTTAAGCAGATTGTTATTGAGGCAAGATCATCTGTTATTTGCTCTTACTCATTTGGAACCCAGGTAACTGAAAGAATTGAGTCAGCAACAGACATGGAGGTAGTAACTATGTATATCTTAATTTCAGAGCCAAATGTCAATGATTATAGATTACTGAAAACTTTATCTTTTGTTTCTGTGAATATACACAAGAATCTTCATTGTACCCTGGCCAGATAACTCAGTTGGTTAGAACATTGTCCCGATACGCCAAGATTGCGGGTTCGATCTCTGCTCAGGACACATACAATAAGCAACCAATGAATGCATAAATAAGTGGACCAACAAACCTGTTTTTTTCTCTCTCTAAAATCACTATATAAAAATTTTATTTAAAAAAAGAATTTTCATTGCTGAAATTGGTCAGGAAAGGGACTACCTATTCTTGTTTACTGATTGAGTTATCCTCTTGGAGGGAGAGGAAAGTCCTTGAAAAGTCTTTAAAAATTAGTGTGTGATGAATTTTATGAGTTGGTCACTTCTTTATAGCAGTCTTTTATCTCTACCTCTACAGGGCATAGTTTCTGGAACAGAAGCTCAATTTATCAAGTACTACCTTAACCCCAGGAACGTGTATGCTAGAGATAAATGGATTGATTCAGCCCTGAGTTTGCAAGGGGCGTGGGGCGTGGTTAATATGACAGAGATGTATCTGATTAATGAAATGTAGTATGTCTAATGGGTTGGTTATTGCAAAAATATTGTTATCATACCTGAGAGGCTAGGTATTTGCTCTTATCTTCTGAGGACTGTTTAAGGGGGTCTGGCCACGTTCTAATGTGAAGCATCTATGCTTGTCTTACAAGTCATTTTTTTGTTTTTGGTTTTTCTTTCCTTTTTTTTTTTAATATATAATCTTCATTATATTTTTTCCTTGGTTTTTCTTAGCCATCTGGAAAGCTACTGTGATTTATCTGTAATGTTAGCCAAGAGGATATAGTTCTCTAGTGTACTATATGCAGTGCCATATTATCAGGTATGTTTAACCTTACTTAACTCTTCCCTCTAACTGAGTGCAGGTAGGAGGGCACTTCTTGATCTTTTTAGCCTTTATTGTTTCATTGTAAATTGTACCTTTAGAGTATCACCCTTTTATCTCTCTAGGGTCCTTTCCAGTGATTTAAAGAAAATTTGAAATGTGAATAGCAAAAACTGGTAATGGAGATTGGATTCTGATGTAAAAGTAAATCATTTTATAGTGGAAACACAATGGAATTTCCTTAGAAACAGATTTTTCTTAGATTCATTTAATATGAGATAATGGGCTTAACAGTTATTGTAAAAAGTTCCTTAGCTCTACAGCTGGAGACAGCACTGATGAGTTAGAAAACATTCCTAACATACTGAAATTCTGTTATTGGAACCAAAACCAATAAACTAAACATGGAGCATTTGGCATTACCAACAAGAAGAG